GGATTTGTAACATTAAAACAATGTACTTGCTGTGAACAATGTCAGTTGTAATATATTGATGCATGGTGATGTTTATGTTATGATTCATGTATATTCATTGTGATGATATTCAATTTAAGTCACACGAACCCTCGGATGTTTCCACTGTCTGGTTCGGGGGTGTGATAATTCCACTCAATCAAAAGATAATCCTCTCATCAAACATCAGAATAAAATATAAAATAAATAGTATGAAATCTCCAGTGGATGTAATGCAATCATGTCTGGCTCTTACTTTTGCTACCATAAGTACCTGAAACATTTAAACTTAAACCATAAACACAAAACTTAATGAGTTTCCCAAGATACCACCTACAACGCATAATAACAAACATATCATTAATGGCCTATTTCAGCCAACATATCAATTTCAACCCATGTGAATGTTATGGTCCCCTCATAGTCTTACAATCACTTTCGTTGCTACAATCTCTTTAAAGTCTTTCCTTTTATGGTCCTACCATAGTCTTTCATACAAGTGATAACCTGACACTTAGTGTTCTACTGTAAAAACCTAAAATTTAGAGAAAGTTGACTTTTAGTCAACTATTGACCAAAAGGGCAAAATGGTCAATTATGAGTAAATGACAGGATTAGGAAGTTGTGTCTTTATAAAAGTAGCCAAAAAGAGTTTAAGTCACTTAGAAGATGTTAGATGAGTAAGTTCAAGAGAAAGAATGCATGAGAAGATGCATTTTGGCCTCAAAGTAAAATGCGAAACTTTATGTTTTTATGCCAAGTTTTTGATTTAAAAGATTAAGACCCATGTTAAGTTAGTGAGATATAGCTTAACATGTTTATAGAGTATGTTCCTACCTTTTTGTGGCAACAAGGTAAATTTCCTCCTGTAAAGAGGCAACCTTAACCTGTAACATAAAATTTTCCTCCTCCAAGCGTTGATTGTCAGTCAGCTTACTCTTCAGGATCACTTTCTCTTCCCTAAAGACATCAATTCACTTTTCATAGCGTTCATTTCTAATTTTGAAACCATTACAAAAATAGAGCCAACTTTTTCCATTTCACTTTCTTTGACATACCCAAATATTGATCACGAAAAGCTTGAACATTATGTGACAACCCCACAGACAGGGTAACAAAAGGTTTCACAAGTTCACAGACCTTCTTAAATTCATCGTTAATGTGGTGCAGACTATACATATCTAGTTTTAAATTTATATCCTAACTACTTATCTATTATTGCACCTATAAATAGTGTACTTAGTCAGTTTATAGTATAGTAAAGTAAGTTGGGGTCGAACATAGGGAACAAATTTAATTAACTAAGATAATTACTAAAACTTAACCTAAAACAAGAAAAGGTTAAAAATGGTTTTCTATCTGATTTTACAAGTTCAGTGTAACACCTGGAGTTCAGAAGTGCGAGTTCAGGGTTCTTAGTATAAATAAGAAAGGACGACTCGACGAGTCGAGTCGCGATTCTGGTCACACGTTAAGTGACCAACTCGGCGAGTCAGAGGATAGACTCGACGATTTGGTGCTGAAGAGAGAAAACCCTAATCCCGGGGGTTGTGCCCTATATAAAGAACATAACACCTCTTCCCCAGCCTATTTACCTTCCCTTTAAGTTCCAGAAGCCCTAGATTCGTGTGAGCTTTCCTTTGTGAGAAATTAGAGCCTTGGAGGAGGGAATCTTGTAAGGGAATTGAAGAGCAAGAAGATTTAGAGCAAGGGGCTTTGTAGATATTTGGTTCATTCTTCAGTGGGAGCTTGCATTGGAGGTAATAGATATGTTCTTGAGCTTTTGTGCATCTAGATTTATCAATTGTGGGGTTTTTGGGGCATAAGTGAGGTCCATCTCGAGTTTGGTGTAAGATTTGAGGTTGCTACCTCATATCTAGGCTTGTAATGACCCTAGGAGCCATAAAGTCTATGATCAAGAGATGTAGGTGAAGTTCTTTTGTCCCAAGCCTTAGCCCAAGGGTGTATTATGCTTAAATCTCTTTGGATTCACGTAAAGTTTGCAACTTTACATGAGGTATAGCTTGTGGAAGGATATATCTATGGATTGGAGCCCCTGCATGGCTTGGAAAGCCACTGTATGGATTAAGAGCTAGAGGTACTCGGCGATTCACATGGGTGTACTTGGCGAGTTGGATGAAGATAGGCAGGGACTCGACGAGTTAGAAGAATAACTCGGTGAGTCTGATGAATGTTGCCTTGTACTCGGCAAGTCTGTTCTTGGACTTGGCGAGTCTGGTCGTGGAACCCTAACCTTTTATGGTTAAGTCGTGAATCGGTGGGTTGAAGGATGACTCGGTGAGTTGAGCATGAAGGGACTCAGAGTTCGTAGGACTCGGCGAGTTGGGGGGCGATATGGGAGTTTTCAGAGCATAGGGACTCGATGAGTCAGCGGGCTGACTCGGTGAGTAGAGTCAGTCAGGAAGTTTGAATTTGACTGAGGACTTTGACTTTGACCAAGAGTTGACCAGTTGACTTCCAGGGGTAATTTGGTAATTATTAGTATTTATTGTGTTCAGTCTTTTGGTATTGATCAGTGGTGGAGTTCGTGTCGGAGGTTGGAGCAGTGTGATCTTATCTCTTCAGTCAGCAGTTGCGAGGTGAGTTAACCTCACTATATCGACAGGGTCTAAGGCACCATGGCCGGCCCTTTATCGAATGGAAATTCGGGTAGTTGTTACGTGCTATGTTATTGCTTTGCTATATGCTTGCATCCTGGTAGTTAGGATGGTATATGTTAGGGACCTGGTTAAGGTCAGAATCCTGGTATATAGGGGATGATGCTATATTAGTGACCGTTTAGGTCGGTATCTTGGTTAGAGTATGCTATGTATGTGATCTGCTAGACCAGTTGATTGATGATTAATTGTTATATGGTTATATGTTTATGTGCACATGGTTGGTTGACTGGGGTTGGGTTGAGGCGGGTTCTGCTTTGTGCTATAAGCCAACATACCCAGGGCGGACCGAATATTCCGAAGGCCCAGCGAGCGGTCCGAATAGGTTGTAGGCCCCACGAGGGTGGACCAGACGTGCCGAGGCTCGGAGAGTGGACGAAGCCGACTGAAGGCCCGGTGCGGGCGGACCAATCATACTGTAGACTCGGAGAGTGGACCGGGTGGGTTGAAGGCCCGGTGCGGGCGGACCAACCACACTGCAGACTCGATGGATATGGCTAGACTCGGAGGGTGGACCAGGTGGACTGAAGGCCCGATGCGGCGAACCAGTCACACAGTAGACCTGAAGTGTATGGCTGTTCTGTTATGATATGTTATGTGTATGGTATATGTGGTTGGTATTTTGGGGGTATCTCACTAAGCTTTCGGGTTTACAGTTGTGGTTTAATGTTTTTCAGGTTCTTCAGGAGACCGTGGCAAGGCAAAGGCGTGATCGTACCGCTCCTCGTGTTTATGTTTTATGTTATGGTTTTGGGAATACTCTGATAATAAATGTATTGAAAACCTTTTTGTAAAAACTTAAAGAAATTGGGATGTTTTTGAAAAGTTTAATTTTGTAATTAGCAATTCAATTCCAAATTTACTAATCTTTTTACCAATTCATGAACTACCTTGTATGGTCACACATAAGCAAAACATAGAATTAGTTGTTAATTATAGATGGGTTATGTAAGATTTATCTAGAAAACACGATCATGGTCATAATTTATGTTCTCCAGCACAACTAAATTAGTTACTTTTATCATTTATCTATGATTTGATCGATCCTAGCTCTAGCAATTTAATAGTCAGTAAACTACTAGGTAACAAGTTCATGTAATTCAATGGGCACTAAGCTACACAAAACCTGAATTCAAGCAATTAAAATCACAAATATTAACATTCTAGATGATGATAATCAAACACAAGCGTAAAACCAACTATTAAAATCCATAGATTAACTAAACCATAGAGTTAAAGTATCATCTAGCTAAACAAAAGCAACTAAATTTAGCTACTCATGGTTAAAAACTTAAACATAATCTCAATAGAAATCGACATAATTAAAGTAAACCAAACCAATGTGATGATGTGTTCTTCAATCTCTAAAACTCCAAGTAATTATCCTTCAAAAGGATGTTTTGTGCACTTTATGGACTCTAAAATCAGTTTTTCAGAATAATTCTCCTCCAGAAAACTCTCCAAAAGCCTCCCAAAATCGTAAGAGTGAAGGAATATTTATATTTTTGGAAAATTCAATGCTCACGTCGTGAGAATTGATGTCTCACTTCATGAGCTCAGTAGTTATCCATATTGACAAGGATTCCGACTTTTCGTTTGCTAATCTTCTATAATACCTTCCTCACGTCGTGAGGTTGAGTGCCACATCGTGAGTTGGGTGTTTTCGCTTAAATTTCCTTTTTTTAATCCTCAATCCTCCAAAGTTCCATTGCCTGTCTTTGGTCCCTGTTCTTCAAGAGTATTCCTTTTGGCTGCATAATACAATTTAATTCAATAAGTACCATATATCTTTGAAATTAACCAAAATATTAATTAAAATGTATTAATATATTGCCTAAAAATGTGTAAAAATATGGCAATATCAATCATGCAAGTCATTCTCTAAATCTCATGATTTTCATCACATCAAGACATCATTTCATGACCCAAAGCAAAATACTCCACAAGCTTCATTTTAAACATATCTCGAGTATGTTCTCTGTTTCTTCTCCCCAAACTAAGCTTCGTACCAGGGTAAGAAAAGTTCTCGAAAAATATGATTTTTTAGGATCTAATAAAGTCTGATCCTGCCTATGTTCCCATTTGGGAACATAAATGGTCCCAAAGGAATGAGGAGCATTTGCATCTTGATAAGGGATTCCCGTTATCAGCAAATTATCTAAAAGTTGTAGGATCCAGAGAATGAGATATTTTTATGGCTCTACTACCACTACTGCCTTCCATAACAGACATCACCACTACAAAAATGGTTGAAGCAACAACTCCCCTATCCTTTTTTCGAAAAATCAAAACCCCAACAGTACCCTATCCTTTGTCATCATCATCATCCTTCACCATAACACAAGGAATAGCAACATTAGGGGTTTGTTCACTAGCGCCATCGTTGGTATCATACAAATCATGAACACACAAAAAAGATCGAGATTCCTCTTCATTTTCCTCGTTGTCACCTTCATTTCCACCTTCATTATCATTATTACTTAAGCTGTCATCATATAAAGTCAAGTCAAAGTCACCATAACCCAAATCCCTAACAACAATTCGACCTTCAACAAAGTTTGGAAGAAGAAACAGTAGGTGACTCCCATCTAACAAACATCAATTCAATAAATATAGATATAAGAAAAACAATACATGTACCTCATGCATACAAGGTCAGATGAGCACCCATCTAGAGGCAACGAGGGATCTAACTTTCCCTAATATCGCTTCGAGAAATTTCTTCATTAAAAAATTAGATGAGAAAATTTTCTTATGTCTTTGGGCCAAATCTGAAGTCCCAGGAGGTCTCTAGTCAATGATCATACCCGGGGGATGAAAAACATTACGAAAGCGAAGACGAGAAGCATTAAGATAGATAACTCATTTTTCCAACCTTTGATGGATTCAGGCAGACCCTCGATGAAAGTTTTTCCTCAATAAGGAAAATAAAACCATGAATCGCTGCTACAAATCCAAAAAAGTATTGGAACAAGGCAACAGTAAGAATGACAAGGGAAGCATGGCACAACAATTTGAAGCAAGTTATCTTCGAGGTCGAATGTGGTTTCAGTTGACATGTATGAATTCTATAAGCCTCGATAATCTGCTCAAAAAAGGATAAATGAGGAACTTTTAAATCGACTTCAATGTAGTAAAGGTAAAAACCAACCTCATCGGAGAGAGGATGATCGATAGTAGTAGTCGAAACAGGAATATAAGCACCTTCTTCATTAATGAGATAATACTACTCTGTAACTTGGGCTAAGTGCTTGCAAGTAAAAGTGGATGAAAGGATAGGCATAACAGGGTGCGACATCTTCACAAATAATAAGAAGCAAGGAACACCAGAAGAAAGTAACTAGCAATGTAGTGCATAAGAAACAACCGACGTGACAAGCATTTATAAGAGCAGCAAGGCCAGTAGCGAAGCTTGAACAATCAAGTTTCTAGGGGTCTTGGTAGTGTATGAACATACCTGATTGTTGAATTGATTATTGATTCCCAAATCACAACAACTTAACTACAGGACTACAGCCTACAAGTGAACCGGAAGAGAAAAAAGAATAACCATACATACCTCTGTGATGTTCTTCAGGCGTCAGATGGTATGATATTTGTCACCCCAGGCATGTCTGCCTAATTGTAGCTAGCAATTTAGGTGTGGGATTGTCAGCCCAGAATAGATCTATTCATAAATCTCACACTCTCCCTCCAGGAGACTCTGCTTACACTAAATGATAGGATTTAACTTGTACCCCGAAAGGTACAATTGAAGAGTTGTCTTACAATCATGTATTAACTAGTTTATGTGTAGTTTTGAATTGTTCTCTTGTATTTGAATCCGTTTGTATACTTTGTATAGTAATAATTATACTTAAATAATTATTTAGTAATGGGTTCTTGTTATCCGAAATATAGCATTGAAGATCATAAAATAAGTTTGTCATAGTTTATATGTCTGTTAATGTAAAACCGTGTATTGAAATCCCAAACTATACCTATTATAGTTTGCATACATGTTATGTACTTGGTTCGTGTATTGATTTGAAAACTATGCAATTATGATTATAAGTTGAAAGCTTCCCTTATGCTCAACATATTACAAAAGGGATAAAATATCTAAATATTTTTATAAAATATGGAAATCATTTGGTTGTATCAATTACATCAGTTTTAAACATGTTGAAATTCTTTTGTATAAGTTCACAAAAATCATTTGTATTTGGCTTGTATCCCCCTCTCTGAAATCGTTAAAAATAGTAAAAGCATAGGGTATGAACTCACTGTTAGTTGCGTGAAAGTGTCGGACAACGAATTTGGAAATGAAGACCCTCGGGTTGATGTACGCGGCACTTTACGGGATCTTAATAACAATTAAATACATATATGCATTTTATTAGCGAAACCAGAATTATAGTGTTGGAAAAACACTTGCTTTTGGTTTAGGAGTGTTATTGGGACTCGATTGAATCGGAAAAAGTGCATTTTCAGCCATGTTCACGACTTGGGAGGTTTGCGGCCTTGAACTGCTATCGGCCGTGAATAGCCTCTTGAATGGTTTACGGCCGTGAATGGTGCTCTTGAAGAAAATATGAAGGTTTGAAGGGTCCACGGCCGTGAACTGATTTCGGCCTTTGAATATTTGAAGATTTGAAGGGTTTGCGGTCGCGAACTCAAGAACAACAATACCAAATTTGATGAAAAACGTGTTTTAGAGGCTCCACAACAACACCTAAAGGTGATTTTTGATGATTTTCGGAAGAAAGAGAGGGTATTTTGTGTTTGCGGTTGAGAGGTTTGAGAGAGAATGAGGAAGTTTTTGGCCAGAATAGTGTAACTGAGGGGTAGGAGTACATATAAATAGGTTGGGTTAATGGGGTCCACCAGCCGCGAAAGGGATTACGGCCTTGATCGGGTTTACTGTTGTGATCTAGTTCACGACTGTGAACACCAGTCATGCCGGTTTTCGTTGATTTTTCAAAGTAACTCGGGTTTTCGTGCGATTTTGGTTTCGACTCTTATATAAAATTTGATTATATAACTTAAATGATTTTCCAAACCACACGAATTTAACGGAACTAAAATAAAATTTTTAAATTTATTAATGGAATCGAGCTAACGTTAACGCAAAAAGGTTCGAGTTGTCACAATTTCCCTGATAACGACTGACCATGCTTAAAGCAAAGAACACATCAAGGAGACTATATGTCATAGCATACACAATAGATCCAACGGCGGAAGCGTATGGAACTCTACTCATTTCTTGTATCTCTGCATCGATACTCATTTCTTCTATCTCGGTTTGGTATTACTCTGGATAGATAGTTCTCCTTTATTGGAATTCTGCATACTAAAACGTTTTAGCACCTTTTCCAAGTATGTACCTTGACTAAGTCAAATTAGTATTTTACTCCCATCTATTAGAATTCTTATCCCAAGAATATAAGCAACCTCTCCTAGATACTTCAGCGAAACACTTTCCGAGCAAAGATTTAACCTCTTTCAAAGTTGGAATGTCGTTTCCTATAAGAAGTATGTCATCAAAATACAATACCAGGAAGGTCACTATACTCCCAATAGCATTGACATATACACAAGACTCATCCTCACTTCTAGAGAAACTAAACTCCTTGAGTTTTTCATCGAAGAAAATATTCCATCTGTGAGACACTTGTTTCAATCCATAGATTGATTTCTCAAGCTTACACACTCTATTTGGATACATTGCATCAACAAAACCCTTTGGCTGACTCATGTAACCATCCTCAGCCAACTTCCCATTAAGGAAGGTGATTTTCATATCCATCTACCAAATTTCATAATCAAGAAATGCAGCTATGACGATCATTATCCGAATAGATTTTATCTTGGTCACTGGTGAGAATGTATCATCATAGTCAATCCATAGGATTTGGTTAATTCCCTTTGCAACCAAACGAGCCTTGAAAGTTTGTACCTTTCCATCCATGTCGGTCTTCTTCTTTAAGATCCATTTGCACCCAACTTTCTTACGACCTGATACATTATCAATCAAATTCCAAACTTGGTTGTCATACATGGACTTGATCTCAATGTCCATTGCTTCTTGTCATTTGGCTACCTTAAGGCTTGCCATTGCTTCCTTGTAATTAGCTAGTTCATCCATATTTATTAGTGTATCATCACTGATAAACGTTGTTGGGTCAAAAATATGGTTTATACTTTGCTTTTCTAGGAAAATATATTTTTATGTAATGTTGTATGTGTTTGCGGTTTGTGTGTACGGCCGCACACCCTGTGTACGGCCGTACACATGTGTATGGTTGGAGGTCCATATAAATAAAGGAGTGCATGTGGGAGTGTATAGTAAGTGGAGTGGAGAGCATCTTGTAGAGAAAGAAAGATAGAGAGAAGAAGTGTGTGTGTGTGAGAGAAAATCTATTGTAAGGAGCATCAATCATATCATCAATACATTAGATTCATCTTAATTCTTCTTCTCCTTCTCTTCTATATTGATATGAGGAGCATCAATCATATCATCAATACATTAGATTCATCTTAATTCTTCTTCTCTTTCTCTTCTATATTGATCTGACATCATCCAATTGATTGGGATTCCGCACCATCAATTGGATCCGATTGATATACAAGCAATTTTGGGAACTTACAATTGGTATCAGAGCTTGGATTGTATCAGTCAATTTTGTCAGATTTGGAGCTTATTTGATCTTATTTTGAAAAGAGAATAGCGTTTTTGGATAGATCTCGCAAAATTAAGGGGGGTTACTTCTTTGCAGTTTTCATAAAAACGGGTTTTTGAACGACTTTTAAAGCAATAAAGGGTGAAAAACGGCGTTTTTTTACGAATCTATTGAAGGTGTGCGGCCCGATTGAAGGAGTGCGGTCTAAGTATACGGCTCGGTGTGCGGCCAGCCTCTCACGAGAACGGAGTGCTCGTTTGCGGTCTTCGTCCTCGCATCACAACCTCAGCCAGCAGGAATCCTCGCTTCGCAGCTCATCCTCGCATCTGAACATCTTCACAACATTCATAAAAAAATAGAAACGGAACTTGGGGTTGCCAGGGATCGAACCCGGGTCCTTGTCTATTGTACAAGGCGCCTTACCATCTGATCTAGCAAACATCTTGTTTCAATCCTCCCGAAATTACTTCATAAAGTGTCTCTCTCGGCTCCATCTTTCGCAAATTCACACTTTAAGCCCAAATATTCAATTTCTTTTAATTTTAAATTCCATTTTCAACCAAAAAAATTTAGTTTTTAATTTTTGATTTTTATTTTTGACTTTGACTTTTAATATTTGACCTTTGACTTTAAACATTGACTTTCTCGTTTGACTTTTAAATTTTCAAATTTAGCTTTTCGGTTTGACTTTTAAGTTTGAGTTTTCGAGTTTGACTTTTGAGTTTGACTTTTAAAGTTGACTTTCTCGGTTTTTAAGTCAAAGGGCAATAATAATAATAATAATAATAATAATAATAATAATAATAATAATAATAATAATAAATAATAATAATTAAAAAAAATTAAAAAATTAAAAAAAAATGAGTTCCACATCAATTCCGGTAAATGAAGTTTCATGTACTCCATCTTGTAAAGCTATGATTAAATTTCTTCGCGAACAAATTGATTTGCTAAAAAGGGAAAATTAGGACCTCAAATACGAAGGATATACTCTTAGGAAAGGACATAAACTGTTAAAAGCTCAATTAGAAGCCAAAATCAAGGATTTCCGAAAACTACAAGAAGATTACAACAACAAGTGTGAAAATTATGAACACATTAAGAAAAAACTTGCTGCTGTAACTGAAGAACTTGACACTTTGAAAATAAAGTATGGAAAAACAGATGTTAGTTTCAAAAATTACACT